GTGAGCCACTCTCATTTGTGGAATACAATGGCAAAGATGGGGTTCCCAAGTCACATCATCGAACTGATCAAAAACCTCTATCATGACCAAGAAGCAACAGTGAGAACCAGTAACGGCAATACTAAATGGTTTGGAATTGGCAGGGGAGTACGTCAAGGCTGTATACTGTCTCCTAACCTTTTTAATATTTACTCTGAGGACATTATGAGAAATGCTCTGGAAGGATTCAAAGGGGGAGTTAAGTTTGGAGGTAAAAAGATCACGTATCTAAGGTATGCTGATGACACCACTCTTGTTCGCAGCAGCAGGGAGGAGCTGATTGATTTATTGAATCGCATCAAACAGGCAAGTGAAGAGAAAGTCCTTCTTCTAAACACCAAAAAGACAAAAATAATGGTTGTCGATAGAGATTATGATAACACTGACTTCACCGTAGCTGGGAATAAGATTGAAGTAGTAAATCGGTTTGAGTACTTGGGTTCAATTATCAATAACAAAGGAGAGAGCACCACATAGATCAGAAGAAGGATGGCAATGGCAAGATCAACATAACAGAATATGTCCCACATCTAGAAGAGCCGAGGCCTATCTCTCAGTCTGAAGGTTCGTCTACTTCAAGCAACTTCTTTCTCTATTGCTACTTACGGAAGTGAGTCCTGGGCCATGACAAAGAATGACAGAAAGAGAGTGGATGCCTTTGAAATGTGGTGCTACAGGAGGCTGTTAAAGGTGTCATGGAAAGATAAAAAGACAAATGTGTGGGTCCTGGAAAAGATTGGAACAGACTTGACCATCAGAAGGGGGAATCATGGAAAGAAAACTTAATATTTTGGGCACATTGTTAGGAGATCTGAAGGTATTGAGAAGCAAATACTGCAATGAGCAGTCGAAGGACTGGGTAAGAGGTCGTCCACCAATATCTTGGACTGATGATATCAAGAAAGTGTCTTGACAAGGAATGAAAGGTGCAACACAAATGTCAGGTGAAAGAGTTGCATGGCGTGCTCTCGTGAAGGCCACAGCAGCGCTTTACAGCGCCACCTGAAGTTGATGATGATTCTGCTAACTAAACCTGGGAAACCTGAAAATTGCAATGAGCAAATTATTGTTTCCAGACCAATTATTTAAGTGAGAAGAACTAACATTTAATATTGAAGCTGTTGTCGTTTGTATATACATTAACTTCAAGTAATAAGTAGGCTTGAAAATGTCGCAATATATCATGTGTGAGGGAGCTTGAAGTTTAATGGTGTAGGTTTTTTGAGACTATATAGCCTTAACGCTGTTTCATTAATGAGATATATCTACAATCAAATCAAACTGAGTGATGTTATCGAGCAACTTAATAAATAACCCTGGCAAACCTGAACATTGCATAACAATTTAAATTCATCGTAACTAAAATGTAATACAATATACAACAATGGGCAAATAATTGTTTCCAGACATATGATTGATATGAGAAGAACTTACATTTAATATTGACGCTGTTTGCCGACTATATTTTACACTGTTTCATTAATAAGATAAATCTCCAAACAAATCAAAGTGAATGATGTTATCGAACAACATAACAACATTAATCTGGCTTAAAGTGACTCGGTAACACTGATGAGGGTTGATGAAAAAACTGCGTAATTTTTGTATGGATTTTTACTTATTATATTCCTTCTACTGTACTAACACCAAAAAAAATCCACTGTGCGCCACCCTCTAACAGTAAATTTCTCCAACCCGTTTTGACTTTTTCCAACCGTTTTTGCACGAAAATAGAACATATGACAGGCTATTAAAAATCTTCAACACTCAGTGCACGATATATTTTATTTTTATTCAAATTTAATTTTGAAATCTTTCCATATTTGATGAACAAGGAATTTCTAAGGAATCCAAAGATAGAGAGAAAAAAAACCTTTTAAGAGAAATTTCCGGGTGAAAAGTCAAATACACCCCCCTTTTTTTTTTTACAATTCTCGGGTCGGACTTTGTGTTTTCATTACATGCTTGGGAACATGAATGCGGTCCCTTCGACCCCGGAGTGGGAGGGGGGGGATATCACGTAGTGTTTACAGACATACTTTCCTTTTGTGTATCCACCTTGTTTTTATTTTTATTTTGCTTTGTATTATCTTCATGACGCAGATCCAACCATTATACCAAACGTATCGATTGCGCATGCACACAGACTGATATATACCGTTTGTGAGCACGCTTTGAAGCACAGTTTTCGCTATACCATATCGTATACTCCACTCTTCTCCGATAAATGAAATGGCTTTTGATGATATACTTCTAACTCTAGGAGAGTTTGGGACCTACCAAAAGATCACCTATGCATTGGTTTTTATGTTTTGGTTCCCAGCTGCAGCTAATGTTCTTGCTGTGGTTTTCTTGGCAGGTTCGTCAGACCATTGGTGCCAGGTAAGTTGAGTCAAGATCAGCAATTTTCGTAATACCATCATGTGCAGGTCTGAATAGGATAAATTTATGTATATTCAAACGTTTTGCGATCGTTTTTTACTGTTGTTGGAGAAGGACGAAAAACAGTATAGTTTATGTTATGTGTCGTGAGGAGACATGTAAACAAAAAAGGTATTCAGGTACTTCACTTGAACATGATTTATAGAGAGTCTATCTACAATTGACGGAACTATGTACATTGAATGATCTATATTTTATGATATTCTGAGTAAGCAATAATTATACAGTAGGCTTACGGTTGTACCATGTGAGAGAGGAGAATTCTATTGTTGTATTATATTGATCCCACCACTGTGTTTCAAGTTTAATGACGATTCAGTTCTTCCCTTCAATGATTGCAAATAAAATATATTAAGTTATTTTGAAGAAAAAAATAGGTTAAAGAAGATGCAGAATATAATATGAGAACAACCAACAAAGTTGTATTTAACAAGCCTAGGTTATTGCTGTCACATGGATAGCTTAATGTGCCTTTCTTTTTCTTTTATAAGACACGTCGAGAAATCAAGTAAAAATGTGCGGGAGCATTGATTTGGCTGGCAACAATCCCAAATTATCAGGAAACTCAGTTTTGTTAATTGTTTCCTCGTAGATATGGCATCATAAATTATTTCGGATTTATTTGTCCTGCGGTATAGGCCGACGACACGAATAAAATGGTTATCGTTCTATTGAGAATTAACGTTGAGGTGCATTTTAAAGGCCGGCTGTACTAGTTTGGCCAGGAGGGATTAGACCACACAGCGTGGTCAATGACAGGTGGCTATCTCATCTACTCAGCTCTCAATTAACATAAGAAAAGATGATCATGGGGGACCAATGGTCACCGATTGGGCATTGTGTTCTAGATAGAGGGAGCAAGTAGCTACAAGTAGTACAGTGGGGCTTGAATATTCAGAAAATCAGGATTGTAAATCTTGTTTTACACAACAAAGCTAAATGAGTATATCTTTTGAAATATGAACTAGGCCCATATTCATTGACTCAAATTTAGTACAACTTTTAAATTGTTACTTTCGGGAACGAATAAAGGTCATCGTTGTCCTGTGATAACATCCTTTCTGTCAAAAGGGTGAGCCTGTAGGCTAAATCTAGGGTCTATTTACTAACAACACAACTTTGTCGTCTGGCCTACTTTTCCGTGAGGACCATTAGTATAATTTCGGAAACTCCAATAGACCTCCCGAATCTCTCGAAAGGCTCTGGGCCAGGGGTTCTTCTGCAAAACAAAATAAGCGCCCGACCAGAAATTATCTTAATAACAATATGATTTTTTTTTTAAATCGGAAAATGCCAGTTTTGGGAGTCTAATTCCTGCATTTCCGCATTTTATATCCGTGCAGAAACATTTTCTCTGGACACCCTATCTCATCTCACTGTCTCCTAATTTCTAGTATACCCCGCCCGCCACTGTTTCCTTTGCGACGTGTAAACATCCTAGTGTAAAGGTTGTAGCGGTTGTCCTAGGTTGTCAAAACAGTGAAACTAAACAGAGCTAAAGCTAGATAAGGCAATATAGATCTAACGAGGTAGATATTTATCATGCAATCTGTTTTATATTCAGTTATTGTTGTGGCGTTAGTCAATAGAGCCTAGATTTAGCGTGCAGGCTGTACATTTCATTTATTGGACCAATATTTCACAACATGATATTCTATTTGCTTGTCTTCAACACTTTTACACGGTTATTGCCAAAACTAAACTATGTTCCTAATAAATCAAATGTTAGTTTTAAATTAACCTTTAACCGGTGGAGGTCTCTGATGGTACAATACTTGAACTTAAACAAGTACAACTAGAATGAGGTGATTTAAAAACTATTCAAAGTTTCAAACAAAAAAATCCCACCAATACCCAGTGGAGGATGGTCGCACGTGATCGATACCAGGGGTTTCACGTAACAACCCTCCCTCCTGCGGATCCTCCCCCATTTAAAGGGGTGTTTTTTGTGTTAGCTTCGCTAGAGGGGAATCATCGTATTAATCGGTTTGTTGACCGGGAGAGAGGAATGAATGGGAGGAGGTATTTATATCTTCCTCGTTCGTCATTCTCCCTCTTCCCTACATTTTCTCTACTGTTCTTCCCTCCTTTTTCGGGGGTGGGGGGGGGGGGGGAATTCGATAGAATCGGGGTCGTGCATCTGGCCATCTACGCCACTGAAAAGTAATGTTCTTTACTGCTATACCAATTTACATCTCCCTTATGCGCTTATTAATTTATCGTCCTGCAAGTTAAGAAACGTGATCAAAGTATACTACAATAGAAATTTGCATATATTTTGTATTTTGATGAATAACACTAAACTGTAACAAAAGATTCGGTTTGAAGTCAATTTTTTACTTCTTGCATAGGTATCTGAATGGAACAACGCTGACTGCACTGGGTTGGGATTAAATGAGAGCGATTGCTCATTCTACAAAAAATATCTCAGCATTCCACATTCCGTAGCAGACGACGATACGATTGTATACGATCAATGTCACAAGTACGATGTCTCCCATGTATCGTTTAGTGATGCGATGGCATACTTTTCGGAAAACACCAATCAGAGTGGACCTCGCTATGACTTCATGTCATGTGATCAAGGATGGGTGCACGACAGGGCGTTATCAGCATACACCCTTACCCAGTCGGTAGGCATAAAACATCTATTTCTTCTTATTCCTCCTTCTCCTACTCCTTTTTCTCATCTTTCTTTTACTTCTTCCTCTTCTTCTTCTTCGTCGTCGTCGTTGACGTTTTCTTCTTCTTCTTCTTCTTTTTCCTCTTCTTCTTCTTCTTCTTCTTCTTCTTCTTCTTCTTTTCCCTCTTCTTCTTCTCCTTCTTCTTCTTCTTCACTCTCATGTTGTAATAAATTAAAGTTTACATTTCTTGCACGATACGTGTTGTCTTTTCATTAGACGTTTATTGATTATATCAGCCCTCCCTGATATGTGAAAGATTGGCTGCAAAGAGTGATTTGATCTTACATGTGTTTAATAGCAATAATTGTGACAGAAATCGGTTAACGGTTGATTTGACTAAATTCATATTTGAAGATCTGTTAATGAAAGGGAAGTGTCAGCTATTCGCCAGAAAGTGGTGGCAATTCAATATGCAGAAATGACTACTGATTATTTCTAACCAAGTGAGAGTCAAACTTTCAATAGAATATCTTTAAAAAAGAGCTTGATGATGAAAGCAATAACCTTGCCTTCCAAATATGCATTTACTAATCCGGCAAGCCATTGCTAACAATTTTGAAAAATACATTATTTGGTTATGGTAAGTGAGCAGTCATTATGATAAGAATACATATATGAGCTATTTATTATCTGGAGAGGGATATGGGAAATTTGTATTTCTTCATTTCAAGGCACTTTCGTTCATCTAAAGGTTAACCGAAATGCGTAAAAAATTGTATCTACATCAGCAATGTAATGACATAGTTGTTGATTTCTTTTGGATTTCCTTGCAGTTTGACCTGGTTTGTGGCCGGAAATACCTGATCAATCTGTCTCAATCCATCTTCTTCATAGGCGTACTCATAGGCTCTGTCCTTTTTGGTGCAATTGCAGATAGGTAGGCCTAAGGTCAACACTATTAAACGAAAAGTCAGTGGCTTTATAATTGTGTTTTTGATATAACAAAGAACGAAAAAGAAGCGATAAAATTTCTCGAATAAATGTTCTCTTATCAGTTAAAAAAAGGTCCGATTTCTAAACTGAATATGTTTTGAAAAAAATGTGTGCCCTTCTGGCTCGAATGACGGGTGAGGAGGCGCGGGGCGGGGGCGGGGGGAGGGGCACTGGTGTGGAAGAAATGCTCTGTGATGGGGGAGATGGAGTAGGGCAGGGTTTTTCATGAAAATGTAATAGCATTGTCGGTTAATAATTGTCACGATATGATTTATGATAATGAAAATGATCCATTTTTTAATTGGGAATTTTTTGATACATTATGTATCTAGGCGTTTCCCAAGGACTTTGAAATTTATTTTACCTGTTTTAAGCTCCCTCATTAACGCACAGTGCATTCAAGAAAGAATTATCTTATCATGTACCCACTCACTACACCTGGTTTACAGTTTGACAAAGGACGTCATAGTCATGACAGGGATTCAAACAGCGCGACACCTTGTAATTTACAGTCCGGTGATTTATCTTATCCGCATCCCCTTTATATGTTTCCCTTCCTCAATGTCGTGCTATCTCCCCCTTTTAGATTTGCTTCAATTCGATTTTGGGGAATGGGTGGGGTGACAAGCGCCCCTATAGCTTGCTCCATCACTGATATTTCATCACAGATACGTAGAATCTTGTGGATATATCCAGTGGCGGATCCAGGGGGGGGGGGGGGGGGCGGGGCCCGCCCCCCCCCCCTTGAGAAAAAAACCATGTAAAAACACGTGATTTTTACCTTTTTGGGGGGTTGGGTCCCCCCCTGGTGGTCAAGGGGGGGGGGGGTGCACATTTTTAAATTTTCGAGGACCCCCCCCCAAAAAAAAAAAAAAAAAAAAAAATGTGCTCACTACCCCCCCCCCCCCCCCCCCCCCCCCCCCCCCACTGAGCGACTTTTCAAATTTTCGGGAGCAAAAAAAAAAAGAGAAAAGTTGGGCCCCGTCCCCTAAGAAATCCTGAATCCGCGCCTGGATATTTCACTGGACTGTGGGTCATATGGTTTGCAGCTCGAGTCTCCTTGCAGCATAATTCCTTTGACAAGACATTAATCTGCAGGTGTCACTCTCGATCCAGGTTAAGTTAATGGGTACCCGTTAAGAAAAAATTCCTTGAATGCTTTAGAACCTTATCATGGAGGCTCAGCTACAGCCGGAGGAACAATATGATACTTTGTATTAAGTGCAGTAAAGTATAGTAACTGTACTATATAAATGGACATATTATTATCAATATATTCATTGTTATAATCATTATTGTTATTATCATTATCATTATTATTGTTATTATCATTATCATTATTATTATTGTTTATATCATCGTTATTATTATTTTATCATTACTAGACCTGTTAATATTCTTATTATTGTTATTAATATTATTACTTTATTATAATTAATATCATTTGTCCTATTATTGTTATTGATATTATTACTAAACTAATAACTACTACTATTATTATTTAAGACTCTGGTACTCAGTGCTAGTACATCAGTTTCTTCATGAAGAAACTCTAATCATGTATTCTTTATCTGTGTTTCTAGATATGGAAGAAAAATAACACTCATCATCTCCAATGTTCTCGTGGTTGTATTCGGTGTCGGTGCTGCTTTTTCTCCGAACTACATAACTTTCGTCGTGGCGAGGACTTTTCATGCTGCAGGATGTTACGGGATGATTAACGTCTCCCACTTGATAGGTTAGTTAGAGCTCACCAAAGCCTAGCCTTTCTTACTTAGTTGCTATATACACACCAACGATACCGACACCAAACAGACAAAAGACCTCCAATCGCCAAGAATCGGTCGATGCGGAGTCAGTTTGGGCGGTGTGACTGTTAGGCACCCCCCCCCCAACAAAAAAAGAAGAAGATAATTTGGTTGTCATTTGGTTGTCATTTTCGGCCCGCTTGTATTATTATCATTTGTTTATAATTATATAGATATTAATTTTCTTTTTGGGGGAGCAATCTTAAACGCCAAACATACCATTTTATGCATGTTGCAAGGATCAAAATGTGTCCCGTCGCCAATTTGGTCTTTTCAGTACGCAATTATGTCTTTATATTATAATAGATAAAGATTTAGAGTAGAGGAGGGAGTTTTTGGTCAGATGGCAACTTTCGGCGGGTCTGTTTTATGCATGGTAACAGTAGCGGATCCAGGGGGGGGGGGGGGTGGACACAGAGGACACGTTCCTCCCCCCCCCCGGCCAAAAAAAAATATGTTAAAATCAGCCCTAAACTCGCCCAAAATATACTGAAAAACAGGGACGTGCCCCCCGGTCAAAAAAAGATATTTTTAATTTAATTATAACAACAAAAAAAAAAAAAAAAAAAAAAAAAAAAATGCCAATGGCCTACCTAAATAGGTGTCCTTACCCCACCCCCCCCCCCCCCCGCAAACGGAGCAAAATGTCAAATTAGAAAATTTCGTGACCAAATAAAAAGAAAAAAAGTGTCCTCTTGAATGAATGGGGGCACCTTCCCCACATGCAACCAATTTGGAACCCAAATATACGTGTGTGTGTGTGTGTGGGGGGGGGGGGTGTGTATGCGCGCGCGGGTGTATGTGCGTGTGTACGCGCGGGTGTTTGGGTGTATGTGCGTGTGTATATCAATCTTGTAAATAAATTGCAACATGGATTCGTAACTTTTACAAACTCAATTAATCTGTGTTCTTTATTGGTTCTATACATTTCTCGTTTGATAAAAAATATTTTCAGTTATCACACAGCATACGTAACGCCTTTATACACATCATTGGCAATCACCCTATTATTGTTCAATTAGGTTCCACTCAGCTAAAATTCTAAAACGACTAAAACACTTTCTACTAGACATGCTCTGGTGGCACGCATACTGCTCTCACTATCATTGACTAACCGGATATTCAACTTAAACTTTAGACTGAACACTATACCTAGGTCAGAACCTAAGCTAAATCGTTCGAATAGGGCTATATTATGAAAAGGTTCTCCCTGTCCGAATTATGGTTCTCGGATCTAATAGATTTTCTACATTTTATATTTATTTTTATCGGCATCAATAAGTTACCAGTCTGCGGTTTTCCTATTCTTTTCATAGGTACCGAGTTCGTGGGTCCATCGAGACGTGCATTTGTTGGCATTTTTATCTCCGTGTCGTTTTCCTTGGGGTATCTTCTACTCACCTTCTATGCGTATCTGATCAGAAATTGGCGCTATCTTCTACTAACACTGAATATGACCTTTGCCCTCTTCTTCTTCTTTTACCCGTGAGTATACCTCGTTCTAGGATTTCTTAATTTTGACTGACCTGTTTTTTAAGATTTCTTTTATCGAAATAAACAGCTATATCAGGGTTTATCATCATTTACTTCTTCAGACTCCAAACTCCTAGGTACAAGTTTATTGCATTTATTCAAGACAAAAATTAACGTCGACCTTTTAAAAAAGTGCTGTTACCTCTCTATCGCCATTGGAAAAGAATGAGACTCCTATGGGTTTTGTTTGCTGCTTAACCCTTACGTAACATTGCTTTCCACTTGTTTCGCTTGATCAAACATGAACGATTAAAGACGGAAATATTAATGTAAATACTTCTTTTCTTCACAAATAGTTACGTTTAAAGCAGAAATTAGTGCTGGGCGGAAGCAATGTTTTTCATCAGGAGTGGTGTTTGGAAATACCCCGTGCTGGGCGGGCCCGCCTGGCGCCGCACACCGTAGCTATGACGCTGATGTCAACAACAGAATGTCTCGGCAAATCTTTAAAAAGTATGAAAGATAAAAACAAAATTTATGACAACACAATAGTCAAAATTTTATAAACAATCGAGGTATATGTGGGATATAATAGTCCATTTACTTGACTATCATTTCAGGGTTTGAGGGGTCGAATTAGTGCTCGGCACTTACAGTCATTTGACAGGACATTAATCTACATTGGCCACTCTCCACCTAGGTTTAAATTGGTACCTGGCAACTGCTGTGGTAGTAATAAGAACAGCATAGGTGCTGTAGGGGCATCGCTCGGTAAAAAGAAATGTATTCGTATTATTAATATTATTGGTAGTAGTAGTAGTAGTAGTTGTTGAAGTACACGGGGGCGATGGGCGATTCGCCCCCGTGAGCTCCATAATCGCCCCCGTCAGGTTGCTCACGGGGGCGATTGAAAAATTAAAAATCGCCCCCGTGGAATTATAAAATAAAGATTATCTTTTCTGATATAACTTTAACACAATATTGAGTATCAATTTTCAAACCTTAAACCAATGAAATGGAACTTAGATGGCGCTTTCTCTCCCATCTCTATAAGTATTACCGATACAAACAACGGAAGCTCGCAGTACAGCTAGTGCGGCCCTCAGCAGTGGCTATACTGCGCCGGTAGTACCGGTGTGCACGCTGACGCCCAATATCTGCTGGAGCTGGAGACGATCGCGCAAGGACTGAAACATGGAGAAGTTTTTCGTTGTAAAAAGTGCGAATCCTCTGAAATCTGGTTATTCTAAAAGGCCAGCAAATAATGTAACTCGACCAGTAAATCAATATTGAGAAGGAGATCACCAAAGATGTTGCAGGGTGTAAAGTTGTGAAATGTTTTATTACACGACTTGACACAACCCGTGTTTAAGGAGTGAACCATTCAATGTTGTGTAAAGTCGTTACACAACGAATTTGCAGTGCACACACATGTAAATCTGAGATTGTTCATTAATATTATGTTATTAAATACAGTTCGCAGAATCATCTGTAAATAACTATGTTAAGCATTTACAGTCTATAAAAAATAGTTCCATAAACTAATATATCTCTGTGTTTGGAGCAAGCAAAACAAATGCGTTTCCGGAAGCGAGAAAAAAATTATGGAAAGAGGGCAAGGTCGAAATCTGTTTACGTGCAATACTTTTAGTGCACCGCGAGGACAACTTTATTATGTCAAAGTCATGTTAATCCAGATAAGGTTATTCGAGGAATAAACTTTCAGATTCATATTTAAATCCCAATAAATAATTTGTAGTCCAAATTAAATATAGTAAGGTACAATCGACATGTCTACGGGTGCTTCCACTAAACGACATGACTTGAAAAAATAATAGAAAAGCACGCACGTGCAACGAGGACAAAATAAGAATAAGATAACAGCCCAGTATATACATCATCCATCTTTCGAAACTAACTACGAGGGTGGCGCTAATTTTCTCTTTTGATTCATAATTAAATAGAAAACAGGATTAGCTCAGAGTTTTTATGTCGACCATTACCATTAAAACCATTTTTTTCTTCTTCCGCGAAATCAGGGGGGGGGGTCTGGTCTAGGTCTCTACTTTTCTGAAGAGGAGTGTTAATTACTCTGGTGTAATAAGATTGACAAGGTCTTCATGTCTTTTGTCCTTCTGCTATGTATTCTGAATAGTGTAGTTGTGTTTTGTGGCCAAGTTTCTATTTCGACATCACCCCCGCGTGAGAACAGTGAAGATATATATTTTCAAGCTCAAGTACTTCCTTATTTCAGCTTTTAATCCACTACAAAGGCGATATGGGCGCGACAAAAAAAAATTAACAAAATAGGCTAAAGTTCAGTCGATTGCAACGGTTTTTCCCTCTGGCATTCACGAGTGTTCATAAAATTATATAATACTTGTATATGTTTAAGAGAACTAGTCCTAACGAACAAAGGAAACTCCAATTTGACTATACTACATTGCGACGATCATATCCACTATACAGATTGAGTAATACGTATGTATACGGGCTTGGACCAGAAATTTCGTACAAAGGGAAGAGATCTGACCATCAGCTGCATGTTTTAACTTGTAAAGTTGTAAGAGAAATAATGCCGACTATTAATGATAATGATGAAATAGCAAATAATTTAGGAGTTTCATGGGTACCACCAATTCAATGGAAAAAGAGCCCCCGTCTGTACTAAAAGAGCCCCCGTGAGAAGGCACACGGGGGCACTTTTTATTTTGGAAGAGCCCCCGTGGACAAAAAATTAATTTGAGCCCTGGTAGTAGTATTATTTGTATTATTGCTGTTGTTGTCGTCGTTATTATTATTATTATTATTACGATTAAAGGGATAGTTGAGTTTTGTTTTCAGATCGCAAACGCCTTCAAAGTGCATGGTTATTGCTTTTATTCTTATCTATGACATTTCTAGTGCCCGTTTAGGACCTAAAATTGCTAATAAGGTAATTTTAGACCCCAAAGTGTCTTAAATTTAGCCAATACGATCATACCAATTCAGCTCCACTTTAAAAAAAAATACGGTGACCGTTAATTAATTAATTAATTAATAATATATATACATGGGCCGGCTGATTGTGCGTAATATTACCAACACGAAAAAGCCAACATCGGCATTGGCTGAAATACAACATAAAAGGCGCTATTTTGTTTTTTTCAACGGCTTTCAACGGCTGGTTCAAATTATCTAATATTTGTGGTGGTACACAAGTCTTAGAAATCGTTATACTTATGGATATTTCAGCCGTCTCTGAACCGATTTTGATCAAACAAAGATGATTTTTTTTATATTCAAATTCTATGTTCTTTCAAATTTGAGAATCAGTTTTTCATTATCTCACAAACAAATTATTTTGTGTATCCCTTTAATATACGATTACTTGATTAATTTCTAATCAATATTCTTTTTTTTAATTTTTTTTTTTATATTAGCTTTATCACTGAATCTGCAAGATGGCAGATCTCTAAAGGTCGATATAAACAAGCTGAAATAAACATTAGAAAGGTCGCTAAGATCAATAAGGTTAAACTCACAGATGGATTCTTCGGGCAACACAACTTCTACAACTCCAAGGTATGTAACATATAATATGTGATATTAATTCAAGGTTCTCAGGGAGACCTAATACTTACTTATTAAGATACTTACTAAGACTAAATACTGACAATGCTACCTTGGGTGACCATGGCATATTTTCAATGTTAGTATTGTTATTATTGCTTTTATTATTATGATTTTTATAATCCTTATTATTATTCTAATATTATTATTAATCATTATCAATATTGCTGTTATTATTATTATAAGTAGTAGTAGAATTAGTATTAGAAGGAGTAGTAGTATGAGTAGAAGTAGTAGTAGTAGTAGTAGTAGTAGTAGTAGTAGTAGAAGTAATATTAGAAGTAGTAGTAGTAGTAAGAGTAGTAGTATTTTCATCAATATTATGATGGTGATGATTATGATGATGATGATGATTATTTATTATTATTAATATTATCAGTACTATTATTGTAATCACTATTAACCATTGTTTTTGTTGCGCCAATTTCCCTCCATAGCACGGACCAGGTGACACGAAACGTGATACGAATCTTACCGATCTCTTTCGCACACCTGTCCTTCGAAAGAGAATGTTTGTTTTGATAATTGTTTGGTAAGTGTGACATTGTGCAAATAATGGATGTGAACCTTAATAATGAATCTGTACATGAAAACCAATATTTCAAGAGAAAATGTGGATTTGAATGGAACAAAAAAATGTAGTGAAATCAATTACAATATTTCGTCGCTGTTTTCACGAAGTGACGGTAGTGAAAAAAATTGCATTCACTTTGCGTTACGATTTTCCTCACTACCGTCACTTCGTGAAAACATGGACGATTTATTATATTTTATTTTATTTTATTCAATATAGTTATAAGCTTCTCCATTACGGTATGAGATTTTATCCTGTTTTGAGAGAAACTTCTTTAAAAATGTAGGGCATGTCCACATGAGTAAGCCCAAATGTCAATAATGTCGAAGAGTTTTAATGCTTTAACAATTATCCAGTAGCTAATGATCCTGGCTTTATTTCGTCATGATATTGGCTCGTGCGTAGAACTAAAATCAGGAGGATAGTGGTTGTGTAGATTTCCATATCTCATAAACCGCTCAGATTCGTTGAGACGTAATTCGATTGTCTTCGATTTTGAGCCGATTCGGCTTTCATTCCGACTAGAAGAGTTTAAATAAATGCACTAGAATTCCGGCTATTAGTAGTCTTATCATGATTTAGAACCTAAATCAAGAAGGATGGTGGTTGTTTAGATTTTCATATCTTATAAACCGCCCTTTCGACGAAAATCGTATCGAGGGGGAATCTTGTAGTATGCACCGGGCTTTGTACCCTGCTCTCTGCTCTGCTCAATCGTCGTTCCTTCCTGCTCATTGCTGCACCCCATCATGTTTGTAGGGTGTTTCATAATAATTCCTTTACTAAAATTCACCGTATAGGATGACCAATAACCTGATCTACTACG